CTCACTTCCATCACAGATCCAAATAACAAGGGATTTATTACTTGTTTTAGGATAGTGGGTAGAGCCATGCAAATCAATCCTTCAAGCTCCTTTGACCAACTGAACACCTAAACCCACTGGTTCATAGTACAGATAAAGCCGATTATAGAACCATTTATTTAAGCAGGAACTACGGATTGACACAATGGAACAACCAGACAGGTTATGGTGAGGTTGGCTAAAAAAGAACCAAAGAGGCCTATGTGTCTGTGAAGGTTCTCATTCATCCATGTCATGGTATATCTGTAAAAAATAAGTCAAGGCATCAGGACTTGCTGTATTTTTCTTGAAGACGTTTCACTAGTCATCCAACCAGCTATAGAGGCCTACACTTCATTAGTGCTACAAATAAAGTAGATCCTTCTCAAAACAGAAAGAGCTCAATTCATAAAGTTTTAACACTAGGATAAGTCTGATCTAGTCATGTGGCCGAAATTCTCAAATCTTATTTAAGTCGACAACTGTCACTTTGTGTTAACTTTGCACATTGAGGTCAAGGTATCTTTGTGACTGACTTCTGTCATGAAGTGCCGGCATGAGAGGAAGTGATAAAATAGCTCTTACAGGCCTTAAATACACACACAAAATATATATTTTTACATGTATTGCCTCCACAAATACTCAGTATAAATGCATGAAAAGTTTTATATCTACAACGTACGGCTACTCCTAGGCAGACGCATTGCTAGTACTGATTTAAAGACAGATTTGGTTGGCCCAGGGTATAAAAACATGGACATTTTTATGCCACAATAAAACACAGGAATAAAGCTTCTTCACAGTTTTAATCACTCTTTTATCAGTTTGCAATCCTTTTAAATAACGCTCGCAGTTTCATCCAATCGTCATTACATCTGAAATCCTAGTTTCAGTTGCTTTTAACTGGTCGGTGGACACAACTATAAAGAAAGGACTAAATAGCTTAAAATGGACTCTGTATTCTATAGCTGCTCCCGACAGATTAAAGGCAAAATAATAAAAAAAAAAGCACCTTACTCAGATAGGTGGAAATGAGGAGAGATTTGGGTTATGTCTCAGATATAGCACAGCTGTTTCTCCAATTCCACTTGTCACCCACCACTATGAAATGTTAAAGGAGAACTATGGGGTCAGTGTTTTTCCCCATAGTTCTCCTTAGGGTAACGGGAGGACACAAACTAGCGTCCTCCCGTTACCCTAAGCTCAGTATACCGTGAGCTACAGCGACGTAGATGACGGGATCCGCCCAGCTGCGTGAGTGACAGCTGGCTCTGCCTATCTAGAGGCAGAGCCAGCTGTACCCGCCCCCTCCCCCGTCCGTTCCGCCAGTCAGTACTGGCAGATCGGAGCGGGGAGAGGGGAATCCAGCCCCTCCCCCTGTCACGGCAGAGAGCCGTGACCGGATCGAGAGGTGAGCGAACCCGGTATGTGTTCGTTCACCTCCCGATCTACTGAGCCGACCTGTGACAGTCTCATTGTCACAGGTCGGATAGAACTATGAGGTGAGTGAAAAGCACTCACCTCATAGTTCTCCTTTAATATATGAATGTATAACATTTCATATTTAAATTGTAAAAAAAAAAACACATCTGGTAATAAGTATTCCTGCTTATCCCTCAACACCTCGACAAATCCAGCAATTAAACATTGCTGTGCAGGGAGGTGGGGGCACTACAATCATTTTTTGTGCTAACTGAATAATGCCAAATGCCTGCCCCCTTCCCTTCTCCTCCAATCATAGAATGCCTTGTATTTTTTGAAAATAGCAATAGTGAGGAGGGGCAGGTGAATCAGCTGGAGCATGCTACTGCTCAAGTCGCAGCGCTCCCTCCCCTCAGTGCCTGGAAGTTGGCCGTTCTTTTCAGGAGCAAGCATGCTTGAAAGTAAGATTTTTAAACTTTGCCGCAGCCCTCCGCACATAACATAGCTTTTTAATGATAATTTACACACCCAGGGAGATGTGTAAATTATCATTTTTCCCCAGAGTGTGGCTTTAAGCAATACAGTGGTATCACCACACTGTCCTCAACCTGCTGACTGGACAGTAAAAGGGAGAGTATCAGCCCTGTTGGATTCAAGTGCTGTGCCTGCCTTTCCCAGTCTAAGTGCTGCTAAACAGAAATTACAAGAAGCCTTTATTAGGCCCTTATTACATGGGCATTCCATCGCTCTGTTTTTAACCCAATGATTAAAAAGGATCAAAAACAGGATTGCAATAAGTCCTATGGGTGGCCAGATGTAAGTGGGCATGCATCCCCCAATACCCACCCACTTCTAAACGTAAAAAAGTTTGTGCCCAAGCCATTTACTGACGTGAAAGGAGGGGGGGGTTAAGAATATAGGGGGATGCAGGCCCATTTACATCCGGACACCCACACTGATTATATGGGTCTTTCTTGTTCCCAAGATGATGAAAGAAACAGAACAGACACAATGTCACATGTGACATCCGTCTCCATTCTGATCCGACTCAGCAGGAGATCCCCTGCTGAGACAGAATGGACACGTCCTTGTGAAGGGGCCTTAGTTAGATTTAAGTACCTACCGTAGACTAGTTGCACAGATAATTAATGAATACATAGCTGCTTTAAACTTGTATCTTTTACATCTGCCTGAAGTTCAGCTTTAATATTTTTAAAGTAAAACAGGGGAGAGCATAATTCACTAGGATTATCTAATGTCGAGATTTCAGCACACCTTGTTTGCAGATAATTAAGCTACGGCTACATGGGTGATGAAATCTCTTTGGTATTGCCACTTGATGACAGTCAACTCATTTGCAGCAGACTGAAATCAATTCACTACTAATGAGATGACTGTAAACAACTAGTTAAATCTGTCACCAGCAAAAGACATTTAATCAGATATGTGGCCCCTATGTATGCTTCTTTTCTATTCTACAGATATCAGGATGCCAGTATACCTGTTCTGCTTACTATCATTTCATACATCATAGTTTGATAGTTATCCTAGTTGTAATAAATACTGAAACCCCCAAACCCACCCCCAACACCCCCACCCCTTGTCTTCTTTTGGAACCTCCCAATGCAGAAAATCTAAGAACATTGGGATGCCCATAATTTGGACTCAACATCTATGCAGACTTCCAAAGAATAACAAGATTATTCTTGCCGTTGTCCTAAGAGAATTTTGCAGAATTTGTAAATGTGTGACAATTTTAAAAATTCATAGCTAGCTGTAGATTGAAATGTAAAATATGTTAAATCATTTAATGACTTGTGTAGCAAATTCTCAATTAATCTTCTGCACACTCTCATGCACCCTTACACATTTCTAGCAAAGTTTTTAACAAAACACAGATTATTGGTTTGCATATATTGACATACATGTTCAAGGTGGTCAACTGCATCAAAAGTGATCCCTCTCTGACCAGTCCCTTTTCAACCACCAAAATGACAAAATAGTTACACGCACATGGAATATGCTACAGGACATAGAGTGTCAACAGGGGGTAAAGAGAAAGAAATGGAGAAGGAGCTACAGAAGCAGGTCTGGTCAATGACCTGCACTATGCAACAGCACCGAAAAATGGCTCTTCCCACATTTTATATTTTTTATCAAAACCAGACTTTAGTTTTAAGGCTTACAAAAAGCAGCGATAAAATGAACACCTTACTGTGGACCTGCTATCACCAGTGAAACACAACCCAAACAATAAAGCTGGGTATACAGGGGCGGAAACTTGTGAAAAATCTCATCAGAACATTTGATAACACCATCAGAGATTTGATGAATAACCACAAAAGAGATATCATTGGGCTTTTAAGGTGTCACATACGGATATATGGGTCATAATGCATACAAAATATTCCCCATGGTATCTCTTTTGTTGTTATTTCATTATTTAGGGGTGTGGTGTCCTAATATCCTTTGGTGGTTCAACCAATCTTGTATACAAAGAGACTTGACGAATGTCATTCAAAACTTCATGTGTATCTAACATTCAGTTTTGAAAATGGAATTTCCCGGATGGAAAACCACATTCACTGTGAGGATTCCGTTAGTTTGCGCCAAACATTTCCATCCTGATCTTCTGATTTTTTTTTCATTAATACAGTCATAACTGATTGATAATTTGACCCCATTAACTATTAGAAAATCGAATGAATGTTCTGAAAACCAATTATTTCAAACAAAATTCTAACCTAACAAGAGAAAGAAAACACACTAAAAATGTTTACAAGTATTCTGACAAGTTCAAGTCTGGGCAGAACTACCTTCACTGGATTCTAGTAGGCACACCTGGTCCCTCATGAGGACCTCATTATCATGCAGGCCTACTTCTATGTCCTACAAATCTTTCAGTTTACATGCTGGAGGAAGTCCAGTTTCTGCCGCACTTCCTGGTCACTGCGGCTGTAAGCGTTGCCAGTCTCATAGTTCCGAGGGCTATGGTTGCATCTTCACCCCCTCTCTTCCTTACCAGTCACCAAACATTCAGCGTAAGGCTCTGCTTTGTCAATGGCCAGGGTCAAGGTAGGGGGCGGTTTTGGTTTGTAGGTGCTCATGCAAATGTAATGCTGAGGTCTATGACAGAGCAACCAGAAAGTGAGGTAGGAACTATGCTTCCTCTTGCATATTCAGATTTGCAAGACATAGAATTATGCCTATATGAGAGTAAGCCCCCCCCGAAGAACAAGAAGACTTGCCTGCTTTTTCAACTCAATGTGAATATATAGAGATCCCAAGTAATAGATGTTTCCAGCCCCTTTACACCTGTACGTTTGGTGATGCCTTACTGCATGCACGTTAACATGCTTCATAACAATGCAGCCCATTCATTTATAATCAGCTGGCAGCATAACAGAAACCCAACTTCTCCTTTAACAAAGAGCACCACACTGCACTGTATGTGTGTTATGGTGCACTTCAGTACATCTTACTCTACTGTACGTTGAGGTGCCATTCTAAGTAAATAGCATCGCAAGTTGCCGCAATGCACAAGTGTAAAGGGGTCTCACTGTTCTTTGGGTACTCTATCAATGTTCTAACAGCCCAGAATCTTCCATATAAAGCATAGATATGCTCCTGTAACCAGGTTAACAGTGTGATTATTAAGGGGTTACATTCTGAAGGATGACTGTATCACTGCATAAATGTGCATGTAATTAAAAACAATGCAAAAAGGTGCATGCACATGAGACTACAGCTACATTTTACTAACCTGGGATGTACATGCACAACAAGCACATTAGGGGCTATTCCCCGCCCCCAAAAAATTATCTCAAGTCTAAGGACGGCGGTCTGATCAGGTCCACCTCGCAGTTTTTCAGGCGGACTGGATCGGATGCCCAATGCAAGATGGAGGAAAAAACTGGGTGGATATAGATGTCACAGTGGTGACATCCACTCCACTCTGCTCTGAACAGGAGGGGATCCATGCAAATATCCTCTCCTGATCGGAAAGGGTAAAAGAGGCCTAAGGTAATTTTGTATATGAGGCAGAGGGGCCTTGACACTGCATGCAGCATCCACATATACGGTATTTGCAGATCTAAGCATCTAAGGCCTCTGTAAACTAAAAAGAGATGGTGCAATACAGCTGCCGTGTCCAGTGACAGGGTTAACAATAAACATTGCTGTGAAAAATCCAGTATGATTTACCACTGGCACAACAATGCACATGAATTATATCGGCACGTCTTGCCACGAGAGCACAGATGTGACACAATGCTACAAACAATCCATTTGTTAAGCCGCTCACCGTGAAGAAAGAGATACGCTGCCATTTACATACACAGAAATTCTCCACAGCTCCGTTCTAAAAAGTACAATGTATGTTAAAAGAAGACAAGACTATCAATGTGTAAATGAGTCCTCAGCAATGAAACTGGAAAATGCAGATGGCAGACGTGAAAGCAAACCAACCAAGTACTTTGCGTAATTACAGCTCTGAATAACTCCTGCACCATAAACCAGGGTTACTATGTACTCTGGCAGATGTACAGTGCGCCCTATGATGCCAAACCAATGTGGGTCTTCTCTACAAAATGCAATATAATAAAAAAAAGATTTCTGCCCAGTAAACGCAAGCTGCTATACCACAAACAAAACCACTGACTATATGCTGAGCATTAAATGCCTACTGTGTTATTTTTAAGTGAAATGAAAAGCCGCACATAGAAATGCATAGCGGTTGTCAATGCTGACCTCCTTCTAGAAACTTTAGTTACCCCGTCTAACTCTGACCTCTAATATTTTAAGACTATGACCCAGAAAAAGCATGGAGCCAGTGAAGTCAGAGGAAAGTCATAACTCCTGATCTACATACTTTTTCTGGGTCACCGACTCAAAAGCTATTGAAGCTGTTGGGTCAGCATGACAACCAAGCAATGAGCGTTACCAAAAGGAGAGTTCAGCAACAACCGTCTACATATTTTCTCTGTGCAGATTTACTCAATATATTTTTCATCAGAAGAGTTTTAGAGGACTTCTCTGCTAGAGAAATCCAGCTTTCATGCAGTTTAATGTTTGTAAAAATAGGATATTTTTGTGTCATGTTGGTCTGTTAACGGGATTGCCACATAGTGTACTTTAAAACCTACCTACCTGTGTTGTAAAAAGTATTGTTTACAGAGCTCAGTAGCTCAATATATAAATACACACATGTGAATGGGGCAA